GGTTGTTAGCAAAAGAATGAACCCAGAATGCGAATTGAAAACCGGAGAGACCTAGATCAACCAAGCACAACCATTTAAATATCTGGGAAGTGTTCTAACAAAAGAATGGAAACTGCGACACTGGAATCCGAAAGGGTTTTGGAATAACGAAAGACGCATTTCAAAAGCTAAGCAGAGTTTGAAGAATAAAATTTAAAAATTCGCAAGGAAATGAGGACTAAACTGCTACGTAATATCTGTCCTCCTATATTGTAGTGAGTGCTGGACAATCTGTCAAAGATGAAGAAAAGACTTGAAGCAACAGAAATATGCTTCTATAGAAGGATGCTGAGGTGAGCGTACACTAAATATGTGAGCAACAATGAAGTTATAAAGATAATGAAAATAAAAAGAAAACCTATATTTAACATCAGGAACAGACAGTTGAAATTTCTAGGGCACATAATGAGGAAAGGTGGCTTGGAAAATCTGATGCTCACAGGACATAATTGAAAGGAGAAATCAGCGCATAAACTAATTAGTGAGCTTGAGTAAATGGATTGCGGAACAGGGTTTAAGAAAAATAAGAAAAGAGCTACAAAAGACAGGAAGTTGTGGAGTGCCATGATCGACTTCGTTCTAACAGACACAGTACATAAAGGAGAAATTTAGCAAAAATTTGTATTCTAGCATGTAATTTGAAAAAACCAGCTGGAAGCACATTGAAAAAAACTTTTGGCATTAGGGACAGCATTACTGTATATAAAAATCAAGTGTATAGTACAGTTATATATTAAACAAGAGATCGGAATTGCGAAAATAACCTTCATAATTTGAGTAATAAATTAGAATGTCACTGATAATTTATTACGAGCATTCATTTTGCCATTCTGATAATAATGGCATTATTAATTAATAATAATTAATATTAAATTATTTTTTCTTTACGAATGGATCAGTGAAAAAATGTCATGTAGCCATTTTTGACATTAGATCTCTGGTTGGAACCCGGAAGGAAATGTGTATACAACGGATATTACAGGAAGAAACAATAATAATAATAATAATAATAATAATCTTCATTGGTATCTGTATAGGAAGTATGGACTCAATGTCGACGATAAACTGTACTGCTTCAAGCCAAAGAACATGGTGTTCTTTACTTCAGGCCAATTCATCATGCAACTCACGAACAGAAACGAAAACCTATCTCATAGACTGGGAGCGATAATTTTTAGTTTCGGGTGGGGTTGGCAGTAGTTCGCTGCTCTAGTCGGCTTAAGAAATTCAAAGAAAAGAAGTAGAGATTAAGAGTATAATTAATTTGTCCCGAAAAGTTAATCCAATTTATCTTGGTATATTTTTTCTTCACTAAGACCCCCAATTCTGGTCGGGATATTCACTTTGCCATGACCAGAAGTAAGAAGCGCCATGACAGAGAAGATGATCGAAAACGACCAAGTCAAAATTTTATGGGATTTCAACATTCCAAAAGACCACTATACTGAGGTCACCAAGCCAGGCATCGCCATCGCTGAAAAGAATGCCTCCTCTAGGAAGTAACTGTTCCTCGTGGCCAAAGAGATTGAAAATCTAAAGAAATACACAGACCACTGAATGGGGTAATTGCCTGAATATGGGACGTTCAGGTCACTATTGTCTCATTTATCATTGAAAATTTGGATTATATACTAATTCTTTTTCTATATTCCGGGTTCCTTTACGACGTTGGTAGTGATGGCTCTCCACAATTTCCTGTATTATTCAGCTCTTAATAATCTGTCTATATTTCTGAGATGAGGTATTATGTACATTATTTACATTATTCCGACTATTGTCCTCATCTTTGTCGCCATATTTATCACAACGTTTCGGCCTTTCAGTATCTGTCTATATTTCTGAGATGAGGTATTTTGTACATTATTTACATTATTCGGACTATTGTCCTCATCTTTGTTGCCATATGTATCAGTATTTATATTTTGTGATAAATATGGCGACAAAGATGAGGACGATAGTCCGAATAATATAAATAAAGCTCTTAATAAATTTTATATTTTTGTTGTCTCTTATAAATTTTATTCCGCCATCTATTTACTCAAACTCAATAAGTAAGTTACGTGTTGTTTTCCTCTGTTCCTCTTGCCTTCAATCTATCCTGTGAGTGTCAATTTTCCCAAACCCACTTTCTTCATTATGGTGGCTTAGAAATTTCAGCTCTCTCTTTCTGGTGTGAATTATAAGTGCCCTTTTTGTTTCCATTTTCTCTAAAAACTTCCTCGTTGCTCACATGTTCTATAGCATTCTCAGCACCCTTCTGTAGAACTACAGGTGCTTCGCGTCCTTTCAAGCCGAATTGCTTTGAATAAATTTTAAAGTAAACAGAAGAAGCTCTAAGCTTACAATGTTGCTTTATTCAAAAGAGGACTTACGGTCACATGACGCTGAAACACTGGTTCCCGCGCGATCATTAAGTTAAGCAACGTTGAGCCTGGTCAGTAGCTAGATGGATGACCGTTGGAAATACCAGGTGCTGTAAGATTGGATATGCGGGTGGTGTAATGGTTAACGGCTAGGAATTCTTAAACGAAGAACCGAATTCCAATTTCAGTTGGGTTCGTTATGGTCACTTACGCGCGAGTATCCGATGGCAAAGTAGTAATCCACCTCTTCTTTTTTAAAAGCATTTCCCCCTGAGCAAGGCGGGAGTGCTACTAGCACGTAGGGGGTTACAGAGAGTGAGAGTAAGAGTAAAGAGGAGTCTTTGAGAGAAGGTTAAAGGTAAAGACAGTGATCAAGGTCAAGGCATCAGAAGATGTCGACTGACATTGCATTTGAAGATTATAGCTATCAGGGAAGCAAGTAAGAGGAAGGGAATTCCACTGTCTGGAAGAGCAAGATAAGAAGCTTTTGGAGAAGAACAGACGGCTACATTTCGACAGTGAACGGGTGTGACTGAGATGCCAACTTAGTAGCACGCATTCATGCAGTTTGGGAACCATTGAAAGTAGCTCGTCAGAGGAGTTGCTATGAAAATACTTGTAAAAAAGACAGAGGGAAGCCACAGCACGTCTGTGAGAAAGTAACTATCGACGGCATGCCAGATCAGGACCAATCACGTTGCATATCCGTCTCTAGATTTTGTCGAGGATCTCGAGCACTTCTCCCCAAACTATGGGTTAATTAGTAAGACCTGCATCACTAAACCATTATTATTCCCAAACAAAAAATTCCTACAATCTAAAAATATTTTCTGGCTTTTAATAACCGTAGAAAACGAATCACTTATTCAAAGCATTTCGACCACTGCACATATGTACTTTTTATTATAGAGTAGTTCCAGGGGTAGACAACTCTGGTTGCCTTCAACATAATATCCTTTCGGATAAAATGTTATTAGTTTTCCTAAAAAAGTTGTATGAATGAATTTTAATTATGCTTTGCTTCTTAAAGCGGACCAGAAGACCATCAGTAACAAGGATTCATTTAAAACATTCGGAGATTCTTGCTAAAATGCAAAGAATCTGCAATGTTACTGGTCCTGGCCTGGCATCTCGGCTTCAGTCACTTTTCTACCGCCGTAATGTAGTTTCCCTGTGTCTTTTCAATAAATATTTTCATCGTAATTGTTCTAATGACCTTTTCTCTATGGTACCGAGGCTTTATGAATTTACACGCTGCACTAGATTGGCGGAAAGGTCTCATTATCTTCCAATTGTAATGGCTAGATGCAAACGTAAGTTCTATGCTAACAGTTTTTTCTATCGCACTTATGAAACTTACTTCCGGCTTTTTGATTCGCAGTCAACTCTTATTTTGAAAAATTGTAATGCAATGCCAATCATTATCTTCCGTCTTCTTAATTCGTGTTCTTTGTTGTCCTCTCTCCTTAATAATAGTTTTTCTCATATTCTCTAAGATTCAGTAAACTCTTGTGTCTTAGTGGCTTTTTTGCCTTGCTTGGAGTGAAATGATTAAAATAGACTGTCATTCTAACTAAGCATAGACGGGCAATTCAGCTAGTAAATATATGTTTAATATGTGAAGTGAGAATGTTCTTTTTATTTTGAAAATCAATTCAAAATATCTGGATCTGTGCCTCTTGGTAAAAAGAATTCATATTATTATTATTATTATTATTATTAATATTATTATTATTATTGAAGAACTTCAAAGCCAAACGTTTTGCTTCCGTTACATTGGAGATGCGAATTCTTCGTGCGCCTGTAAATTCCAGACTCGAAAATAATTGCAATCTTACTTTGAACTGTACAACAGGAAAAGAAACTAAATTTTTATTCAAGGGAAACTAGGAATATTTTTTTTCTTATTTGCGTTCTTTCTCAATCCAGCAAAAATTACTGTTCAATCCTTAAGATAATTTCAGACGAAGACGTTTTCGTTTTTTTTTTTTTTTTTTCTGTTTTTGGTTACATTCTGCCCGAAGCTCGCTTACTTAGACACCCACCTTAAACTAAACCCAACGCAATAAGAAACGCACTCTCAGTGGATAATTTGGCAATTTGTGGCATTATTTTCTGATTTCGTTAAATTGGGGCTAATTTAGCTTAATTTCTAAATGACCTTTAACCTGAGGGCTGGTGTAAATTAGGGGATGTTTGCTCAAAGTGCAAGGTTTCTTCTTTTTATAATTTTAATGTGTTGAGTCTACTAAGATTCGTATAGAAAATGGAGATCGTTTGATATGTAGGGAAAAAGATGAAGTTTTGCGAGAGAAAAAAAATAATAGTTAAAGAAACAAAGAAAGAATTTCAACAAAAAAGGTTCAGACGGAAAAAAATATACAAAAGAAAAAAATAAATCTAGTGGTACATAAGCTATGAGCTGGAATGAAAGAAAAAGAGAGGAACAAAAGAGTAACATTGAAAGAAGAAATAAAGATAAGCGTAAGAAGTAGCTAAGAAAGAAAGAAAGAAAGAAAGAAAGAAAGATGTAACTTAGAAAGAAAGAACGAATATAGAGGAAAGAAAGAAAAAAGAATGAGGAAAGAAAGATGTAACTTAGATAGAACAAATATAGAAGAAAGAAAGAAACAAAGAAACAAAGAAACAAAGAAAAAAGAAAGAAAAAAGAAAGAAAGAAAGAAAAAAGGAAGAAAGAGAGAAAGAAAGGGGGAGTATGATGTAACTTAGAAACAAATATAAAAGAAAGAAAGAAAGAAAGAAAGAAAGAAAGAAAGAAAGAAAGAAAGAAAGAAAGAAAGAAAGAAAAATATAATTGGGAATGAAAGAGAGAAACAAACGAGTCACAGTGAAAGAAGAAGAAATAAAGAAGAGCTTAAGAAGAAAGAAAGAAAGAAAGAAAGAAAGAAAGAAAGAAAGAAAGAAAGATGTAACTTAGAAAGAACGAATATAGAGGAAAGAAAGAAAAAAGAAAAAGGAAAGATGTAACTTAGAAAGAACAAATATTGAAGAAAGAAAGAAAGAAAGAAAGAAAGAAAGAAAGATGTAACTTAGAAAGAACGAATATATAGGAAAGAAAGAAAAAGAAAGAGGAAAGAAAGATGTAACTTAGAAAGAACAAATATAGAAGAAAGAAAGAAAAAAGAAAGAAAGAAATAATGAAAGAAAGAAAGAAAGAAAGGAAGGAAGGAAGGAAGGAAGGAAGGAAGGAAGGAAGGAAGGAAGGAAAGAAGGAAGGAAGAAAGAGAGAAAGAAAGCGGAAGTATGACGTAACTTAGAAACAAATATAGAAGAAAGAAAGAAAGAAAGAAAGAAAGAAAGAAAGAAAAATATAACTGAATGAAAGAGAGAAACAAACGAGTAACATTGAAAGAAGAGAAAATAAAGAAGAGCGTAAGAAAGAAAGAAGGAAACATAGAGGAATGTAATGTAACTTAGAATGAAAAAGGATGTAAGGAAACAGAAAAGTAAGAAAGAAAATAACAGAAGAATATGAGACGCAACAGAGAATGACAAAGAAAAACAAAGAAAGAAAGAAAGAAAGAAAGAAAGAAAGAAAGAAAGAAAATGGAATTGAAATGAGGAAGAATAAAAGAATATAATTATTTGAGATAGATCCTATGTTAATATCTATTTTGGGAACGAAGAAAGAAAGAAAGAAAGAAAGAAAGAAAAAAAGAAAGAAAGAAAGAAAGAAAGAAAGAAAGAAAATTGAAAACATTA